ATCTAAAAAATTAGCCGGGCATGGTGGCTTGTGCCTGTAGTTCCAGCTACTTGGAAGGTTGAGGCGGAAGGATCGCCGCAGCCCAACAGGTCGAGGCTGTGGTGGTTGTGAGCGTGCCACTGCACTCCAGCCTGGGCAACAGAGTGAGACTCCAACTAAAAAAAAAAAAAGAAAAAAAGAATCCTTTGCATTGCCCCGTAACTCTGGTATTGTATTTCTCTGAGCTTGGACCTCTACAGTAAGGCAGCAAGAAAGGACATAGCCTCTTTTCAACCAGGTGACCCTTAAGATGAAGATAGGAGGAGTTGGTTTTGCTGCTCATAAACGCTAGAAGGGACTTCTCTCCAGGCCTCCAAGCCAGATCTCTGTCGCTGATCCAGAAATCATAGGGCCTAGAAGTCTGGAAAGTTGGCTTTGATCGGGAACGAGCTGATGGGAGGGACTGTGCCAAAGCAGGCTGAACCAGGAAGGAAGTCGCGCAAAGCTTCAGACCCGGAACCTTTGTACGCGCACTTCCCCAAACCCGGACGCAATTGAACGTTGCGCAGCGGCGGAGGCGGGGTCGGTTGCCACGACTATGCCTGCGAAGATGGCGGCTGCGTCTTCATCGGATTCCGACAGCGGCCGAGCTGAGAGGTAAATGCGGGGTCCTCAAGGTCTCTTTCCACAAATGTCAAGAGGGTGCCCTGGTCCCTGGACTCTGGGCTCATGTGGTTCTGAGCAGTGCTTGCAGTATTAAAGGACTCTTAGAGGTCAGATAGGGAAACTGAGGCCCAAGGAGTGCTTGTGTGTGTCTGACTCGGTGCGCCAGTGGCGGTATCAGGACTTGGACTCAAATGTTCTGTACCCTCAGTTCAGAGCTCCGTGCACCGGCTCCCTCAAAGTTTTCTTCCCCTACCATGGGACTCACTCCCCAACTTTCTTCCCTCCCACTCCCAGGAATGAGGCCAATTCGAAATGGCTGGACGCGCACTACGACCCAGTAGCCAACATCCACACCTTTTCCTCCTGCCTGGGTGAGTCCTTGGAACCGGGAGCCCTCGGTTCCGGGAGATGGGGGAGTTAGTTAATGAGTTAATGACGCCTATGAGATTTTGAAACCTTGGTTTTGGCCCTTTTATTTTCCAGCGCTGGCAGATTTGCATGGAGATGGGGAATACAAGGTAAGCAGATCACCCCAACAGAGAGCTGGGGGCAGAGGGGAGTACCCAGAAGTGAGATTTACCTATGGCTCCAAAGAGGCTTAGCATAATCTGGAATTCACGCGTGCTGTGAGAAAGTATATTTAGTGTTGTTTTATTTTTAATGTAGACAGTGAAGAGAACCTATTGACTTCCTAATATAGACTGCAGAAAATAAAGCTGATCAAAATGCCTCTGGGGATTCTACTAAGATAAAGCCTCTTAATTTAGTTAGCATGATTCTTTTTTGAAAGGGAAAAGTCCCTTGGATGAGGACAGGCATTAGTATCTGGAGGGAAAGTAAAAGGGAAGGAGGTGAGAGTTTCATGTATCAAAAGGGCATGGATCTTAAGATTGGCCACAAGCTGATAATTGTTGAAGCTGGATAAAGGGTGTATTGAAATTTATTATATGAGTCTAACTACTTTTGTATATTTTTGAAAAGTTTTTATAATAAAAAGGTTAAATTTTAAATATAAAGAAAATAGACAAATAAATTAAGGCCATGCAGAGTGGCTCACGCCTGTAATCCCAGTACTTTAGGAGGCTGAGGCAGGAGGAGTGCTTGAATCTAATAGTTCTAGATCAGCCTGGGTAACATAGCAAGACTCTGTACAAAAAATTACAAAATTAGCCAGGTGTGGTACATGCCTATAGTCCTTACTGCTTGGGAGGCTGAGGTAGGAGGATTGTTTGAGCCCAGGAATTCCAGGTTGCAGTGAGCTATGATGGTGCCACTGCAGCCCAGTCTTAAGAGCAAGACCCAGTCTCTAAAAACTAAACTAAAATAAAAGGTACATATTTTTCAAAGTTGAGAAAGTATTTTGGGGTAAAAGAAAAAAAGTTAACATGTATTGAGTATCTATTTCTGGATTAGACCCTCAGCAAGACACTTTCTTCTTTTTTTTTTTTTGAGTTGGAGTCTCACTCTATCGCCCAGACTAGAGTGCAATGGCCGCTCCTGGCCACCGCAGCCTCGCCTGCTGGGCTCCGACGATCCTTCCGCCTCAGCCTTCTGAGTAGCCGGAATTACAGGCATGTGCTACCACGCCCGGCTGATTTTTTGATTTATTGTAGAGATGAGGTCTCGCCAAGTTGCCCAGGCGGGTCTCGAACCAGCAGGCTCAGTCAATCCACTCACCTCAGCCTCCCAAAGGTGCGGGATTACAGGCTGAGCCACCAAGCCCAGCTAAGACGCTTTCATATATGTAGGTATCCTTCTCATTTTAGGAAAAAATTTCAGAGTGACTAAGTCTACTGAATTTGTAAGTGGAAGACCTTGGTCTGTTTGATTCCAAGTCCTGTGCTTTTTCCAACATAGCTCAGCCCTTGCCATGGGCAATGACCCCGCAATGGGCATATCATGAGTGGTTCGAAGATAGTCCTGGAATCCTGCCTATATGGAGACTACAGTAAGACTCGGTGGTTTTTGTCCACAAATTTCTATCCATAATGCAGTCAGTAATTCAGCAAGCATATAGTGAGAAGTGTGTGTCAGGCATTGTGGGGACTCTAAACTCAGAAATGCATTAGCACAGGGTTAGGAGTTAGCACTATTGTTAATTCATCCATGTTATGAATAAACACCTAAGTTTGTGTTTGGTGCTGGGTCTACAGCAGTGAAGGGTGGAGAAACTACTGACACAGTAACTAATATGAAACATTTAATATCTTCATGTAATAGCCTGTTTAATGCTACTTTGTTCACCATTGAGTCCCAGCTTCTAGCCCAGAATCTGGCACTATAGGTACTTGACAAATATTTTTGGGGTCAGTGAGTGGATGCTAAAATAGAATATGTAGAAAGTATTATGGTAGTCCCGGTGAGAGAACCATGGATTCTATCTGGAGGCACCAGGAGGCAATGACAAACTGAGAGTTGAAATGGGCTGGGCTCAGTGGCTCAGCCTATAATCCCAGCACTTTGGGAGGCCAACGCGAGTGGATTGCCTGAGCCCATGGGTTCAAGACCAGCCTGGGTAACTTGGTGAGACCTTGTCTCTACAATAAAAAAAAGGTAGCCAGGCATGGTAGCATGTGTCTGTAGTTCAGGCTATTTGGAAGGCTGAGGCACAAGGATCGCTGGAGCCCAGAAGTTCGACGCTGGGGTGGCTGTGAGCATGCGTGCCACTGCACTCCAGCCTGGGCAAAGGAGGGAGACCCCAACTTGAAAAAAAAAATAGAGTTGACAGATGAATGATGTGTATTGAGAAGGCAAGGAAGAGAGGATGAGAAAGGCATTCAGGTAGAAGGAACAGCACAGGCAGAGGCACAGAGGCTTGGACGTTCTTAACACACCTAGAAAGAATAAATGTGAAGTTAGAAAGTTGAGACCAGAGCGACCCTCTCAGGTCCCCTCCTGCTCTGGGAGCTTTTCTGTCCTCTCAATAAATCCTACTTAAAAAAAAAAAAAAAAAAAGAGTCGGGCTCGGTGGCTCAGCTTATAATCCCGCACCTTTGGGAGGCTGAGGTGAGTAGATTGCCTGAGCCTGCGGGTTCAAGACCTGCCTGGGCAGCGAGACCTCATCTCTACAATAAATCAAAAATTCAGCTGGGCGTGGTAGCGCATGCCTGTAATTCCGGCTACTTGGAAGGCTGAGGCAGATGGATCGCCGGAGCCCAGCAGGTCGAGGCTGCGGTGGCCGGGAGCAGCCACTGCACTCCAATCTGGGCGACAGAGTGAGACTCCAACTCAAAAAAAAAAAAATCATAAAATCAGCCAGGTGTGGTAGCGCATGCCTGTAATTCCGGCTACTCGGATTGCCGGAGCCCAGCAGCGAGGCTGCGGTGGCCGGGAGCGGCCACTGCACTCCAGTCAGGGTGACAGAGTGAGACTCCAACTCAAAAAAAAAAAAGAAAGAAAATTGAGACCAATATAAAATAGTAGTTAAGGCCACTTGGTTTGGATTCAGACAGACCTGGGTTCCAGTCCCAGCTCTCTCATTTAATAGCTGTGTGACTTTTACTTAATATCTCTAAGTCACAGCTTCCTCATTTGGGAAGTGGAGCTAATAATAGTACCTGCCTTAGCTGGGCATGGTGGCTCATGCCTATAATCCCAGCACTTTGGGAGACTGAGGTGAGAGGATTGCCTGAGCCCACGGGTTCGAGACCAGCCTGGGAAACTTTGTGAGACTTCATCTCTACAATAAATCAAAAAAAGTAGTCGGGCATGGTGGTGCATGCCTGTAGTTCCAGCTACTTGGAAGGCTGAGGCGGAAGGATCTCCTCAGCCCAGCAGGTTGAGGCTGCAGTGGCCGTGAATGTGCCACTACACTCCAGCCTGGGTGACAGAGTGAGACTCCAACTCAAAAATAATAAATAATAATAGTCCCTATCTCATAAGTTTGTTGAAAGCTTGACTCAGTGATGTATACCTACTTGGGAGGCTGAGGCAGGAGGATTGCTTGAGCCCGGGAGCTTAATGCCAGCCTGGGCAACATAGACCTCCATCTCTTAAAATAAAAAAGTTGTTGTGAGGGTTAAATCAAAGGGTGAACGTAGTTTCTGATGTGGTCTCT